CTGGAAATAAGCGAGCTGCAGGTATTTATCGCGACCTAACGTCATATTTTGTTCTACAAACCGTAATTGATAGGCTTTCACTACAGGCGCCTCATACAATTGAATCGACGCAGTTGTCACACTCTGTGCCGTGTTTTAAAGAGGAACTGGTGAGTCAAACTAGCGCTAGCCTGCGCTGCTCTGTTGGCTATTTCTTATATTTTTCTGTGTGGGCGCCGAGGCCTATTATTATGAGTATATTTTTGCTGTGCTCCTCCTGCTAAAGTTTGCATACATTAGATAGTTGTTTTGATTATGTGCACTAAGCTAGATTAATATTTGCACTATTGTTTATGGTGCATTGATATGAGAATCAGTGCTTTGACTGATTGAATTAATTTATATGAGACATTTTATTATGTAATGATATATTGGTAATTATGAGATATTACTAATGCTGGTCCAGTTCATACAGGCCAGGGTCCTTCCCCTCCATTGGTCCCTTCAGTCCTTTGGAACAATAACCACTACGGACATTAAACTGATTATATAGATACAGGTCCTAGCCCAATACTCATATTCATATATGCTGCACTGCTGCACTTGCTACTTCCCATTAAAAACCCCAAAGATAAAAAGTATGTTGACACGGCTCTGATTTTATGTGTGGTCTGTGCATGTGTAACTGAGCCTGCATCTGGCACAACATCCAATTAGATCACGTAGATAGTTATGATTTACCAGCAGCCAACGACATGGAACAAACTGTTAGTCCATGGGTCAGAGACCAACGAGAATGCACCAGCAAAATGATTCCTAACATTATTTTGTTTGCCTACAAAAGTACGTGGAGACCAACAAGAAACAAATCGCGGTCAAAAAGACTCGAGAGGACTCGAAAGTCAAACCGTAGGACTTGGGACTGACTTGAGATTTGTTGGCCTTTGACTTGGACTCGACTCGGGACTTGCCTGTCTTGACTCGTGACTTGACTCGGGACTTGAGGGCAATGAATTGAGACTGACTTGTGACTTGCTAAACAATGACTTTGTCCCACCTCTGGGCAGAAGTCTAAGAAGTGTTTGGGAAGAGTTATTGAAGGATCCTCTGACGATGCCGGGATTTGCCTCGGAGCGCTCGCCTCTCCGCTCTCTCGCCCGCAGGCCTTCATCATGTGCACGCCGCATCCGCCCTGGGGCTGAATCCGCCAATTACGCCTTCAATCCCGGCTAAACTTATTTGATTAGAGCAATGGAAGGCGCTAACAATGCGTACGCTCTGGTCCAGGGAGAGACTGGCGCAGAAACCTGTTTATTTAAGAAAAGACACGGAGCAGATTTTTAGCTTCAGGTGGAATTCCTCAAAGTGTGTGAGGATGTGAGAGGTGAAGGCTTTGAAGTGCGCCTCGCTGCCTTTCATTTAGCGTTTGGACTTTACAAAGTAACTGATAATATTTAGCCTCATCAAAATGTGTGTGTTCTTTTCAGGAGGAGACAAAGTGCTGTTGGATCCAGAAAAACACATTTCATATATTTACTCTATGTCTCAATCACATGGAGGTTCAGGGCCTACTCTACTCTACTCTACTCTGTTCTACTCTACTCTACTGTTCTACTATGTTAGAGTAGGGTAGAGTAGAGTAGATTAGGGTAGTGTAGAGTAGAGTAGAGTAGGTTAGGGTAGAGTAGAGTAGGTTAGGGTAGAGTAGAGTAGAGTAGAGTAGGTTAGGGTAGAGTAGAGTAGGGGAGAGTAGAGTAGAGTAGAGTAAAGTAAAGTAGATTAGAGTAGAGTAGAGTAGAGTAGAGTAAAGTAGAGTAGAGTAGTGTAGAGTGGAGTAGGGCAGAGTAGAGTAGAGTAGAGTAGAGTAAAGTAGAGTAGAGTAGAGTAGGGCAGAGTAGAGTAAAGTAGAGTAGAGTAGAGTAGGGCAGAGTAGAGTAGAGTAGAGTATAGTAGATTAAAATAGGGCAGAGTAGAGCTGATAGCTTTAGTCTTACCAAGGAGTATCCATAGATATAGGTTTGTTGATAGATATGGCACCAGATAATATACTGTATGTTTAATTCAAGTTTTAATACATTTCAGCCAATCAGGAAGAAGGAGGGTGAGAAGTGGGCGGGGCTTAGTACTGCCTGTATTCTCTGTTCAATAAGTAAAGAAACTGAAACAACCTTACACATGGCTAATAAAATGAATCTGAATCTTTAATTTCCTTAAAATAACGGGACATCAAACACATAAAATAAAACTCCCCGAGTCTCTTCTTCTTCCTAACCTTGTTGTATTGTCACATTTGTTCCTTTCACGTATATTTTTCATAAATTGAAGGTTTGACTGCAGTGGGTTATGAATGTATTAAAATCGACCTTAAGAAAAACATAGAATCTGCCGCAAAAAACTGACAAAAGCTGCGTCCAAAGTCACGAACTCCAAGATTTTCTCGACTGCGGCGCTCTCTGCTTTGTCGCCGAAGGACGCCGGGAATGTATGGAATGTGTCAGCGCGGCGTCTTAGCCTTTGTGAGGACGTGAAAAGAAAGAAATAAATGTAGGATTATTCTTGTGAGTGTCTAACAACTTTGGCCTCATGTTGTGTACTCACCTTTTAAAGCTGCTTATTTATATCACAGTGCGGTAATTTAAAGGTGCTCTGTGGGATTTTCAAAGTTAGCCCAAATAAAAAAAACACACACATCAGACAGGACCTGGGGGGGTAAGATTTAGGCCGAACCATTACCATTTCAGAATAGAAAGCAATTGCTGGGTTGCAAACACGTGACCAAAAGGGGGCGTGGCATGGGGCCGTAGGACAGGAAGTATTTTTCCCCATTTAAATAGAATGGGCGATGCGCGAAAACGCTGCATTAGCGTGTGAGGCGCCATCTGCAGGCGACCTGTATTACTACATTTGAATTTTGAATCTGGCGCCGACATTGGTGCAGCAGTGATACCTGACGGCCCAGTCTCGTTCACGCCCCCTAACGAAGGAAGGAAGGAACAGCAGAGAGTATTTTGATCGATGGTCAGGTTTGCGTTTAGCTATAGCATGTAGGTAGATTTTTATTACCTGTTTGTATTATAGATAATTGTGTAGTGTCAATAGCCTTTTTGTTGAATATTGTAGTTTTAGTCACTATTGCTTTTATTGTCAAGTGTCAATCACAGCCTAGACCCGCCCAACACTGAAAAAAAAATAAAAAAGGGGAGGATTGTCTACTTCCGGGTGGATCATCTAAACTATTGGTCCTCCTTATTGTCAGTTAGTCTGTTTGTGTAAGCCCTCAGTCGTACAGGGATTAGTCAAAGCAAAGGAAGGTTTCTCACCCATCATCTGTACTTCTTAGCAAGTTTTCCCGACGTTTCGTCCTCAACCTGGGGACTTCTTCAGGGAATGAATTCTCGGACCGCGCGTTGGAGATTTATAACCTATGGGTGTGGTAAGCCACACCCTAATCCTGATACTAACTCGTAAACAATCTACGGTCTGCTTGATGTAGAAGGGAGCAGGTCTAACGACCCTGCTGAGGCTAACGACCCTAACTCCTTAGCATGTCACAGACCTATTGTCTGCTGGGATGCTCACGTGGAGTGCAGGTCTCACCCCTCCTAACTCATTAGCATGTCACTGACCTTGTCCCAAGTTAGGGCGTTGTTTTTAGGATGTCGTCATAGATGCGAGGCAAAACAAATCTTAACCCTCCTCCTCTGTTAAGAGAAGGTTTTTGTTTCCTCACAAAAATGGCTTCTTTCACCCCTCTCTCAAACCAATTCTTCTCCCGAGCCAGAATTTTAACCTCTGTGTCATCCACCGTGTGGTTGGAGGCCTTGAGGTGGAGATGAACAGCCGACTGTGGCCCACTAGAGTTTTCTCTACGATGTTGGTAAAGTCGTTTCTGTAGAGTTTGTTTGGTTTCTCCAATATAGTGGTCAGTGCACTCCTCTTCACTACATTTAATTGAATACACCACATTGCTCTGTTTGTACAGAGAATTCTACAAAGAATCTTTAGGCAACACAAAATCCCTGTGTATTTCAAACCTTTCAACACGTTAAGACAGAAATTAGTGCATCCCAAAGACAAAACACCCAGACACAAACAGAGCAATGTGGTGTATTCCATTAAATGTAGTGAAGAGGAGTGCACTGACCACTATATTGGAGAAACCAAACAAACTCTACAGAAACGACTTTACCAACATCGTAGAGAAAACTCTAGTGGGCCACAGTCGGCTGGTCATCTCCACCTCAAGGCCTCCAACCACACGGTGGATGACACAGAGGTTAAAATTCTGGCTCGGGAGAAGAATTGGTTTGAGAGAGGGGTGAAAGAAGCCATTTTTGTGAGGAAACAAAAACCTTCTCTTAACAGAGGAGGAGGGTTAAGATTTGTTTTGCCTCGCATCTATGACGACATCCTAAAAACAACGCCCTAACTTGGGACAAGGTCAGTGACATGCTAATGAGTTAGGAGGGGTGAGACCTGCACTCCACGTGAGCATCCCAGCAGACAATAGGTCTGTGACATGCTAATGAGTTAGGGTCGTTAGCCTCAGCAGGGTCGTTAGACCTGCTCCCTTCTACATCAAGCAGACCGTAGATTGTTTACGAGTTAGTATCAGGATTAGGGTGTGGCTTACCACACCCATAGGTTATAAATCTCCAACGCGCGGTCCGAGAATTCATTCCCTGAAGAAGTCCGCTAGGTTGAGGACGAAACGTCGGGAAAACTTGCTAAGAAGTACAGATGATGGGTGAGAAACCTTCCTTTGCTCAGTTAGTCTGGTGATAAGCTACACGTGTTTCAAGGAGGAGAGCGGTTCTTTTCTAAAATTGGGGAAAATCCTTAAACCTTAACATTTACAGCAGCTATTTAACCCAAAGGAAAAACACAGTTACACAGTAATCACTTCTGTCTCACTCTCTCCTCTCGGTGAAAACTGTCGGCTCAGCGTAAATATATTAAAACCTCCTTTTCCCAAAGCCAGTGACAGACAACCACCTGACCTTCTCCGTCTCATTATGGCTTCATTTGACCACAACACACATCCCCCCGTCCGCCCTGGGCTCACCTTGCCTCTCCATATCACCGCATCCTAATCACCCCCAATGTCAAACACGGAGGATATTCAGCCCAACCTGGCGCCCGCGTGTCCGTCTATAGTAGGACGACTTATTAAGAAAATGTTAAGTCCCTGAAGCGCACTTATCTGACACCGAAACAAAGGCTTAGGCATGTGATTGATGGCGCTGGTCTCGCGGGGATTAGCGCGCCGCGGAGAAGCTAATTGCAGTCTCTCGCCGCGGTTCATCCGTTTCAGCCATTTCAGAAATCACCTTTGCGTACGTCGCTGGCGGTGACGGAAGGGTCGTCTGTCTCCGGGGTGAAGAAGAAAAGGAAAAAGGAAATATTGTCGCTGAAGAGAAGCGAGGAGTTAAGAGCAGACGGCTGCGAGCGAGAGTCACGCTGTGTGTGTAAATCTGAAATGATTCATGGTTTTGAGGGATTAATATTGTCCGGGATTAGATGATTTTCAAACTGATAAAGCAGAAGAAGAAGCAGGAGTTAAAGCTAGGATTGTATTATAAATAATTAGACGGTGGACTGCTTTTTCCTCTTTTTTTTGTCTGAAAAAACTGATGCAAAGAAGTGACAGAGGCAAAGATGATAAATTAACTGTTAGAGGAAAGTCTGCCATGGTAACCAAGGAATTTCCTCCAGCACTGGTTTGTTATGGGCAGGATGTTTGCAAATGGGACCAGATACTTAAAGTAGCTGAAGATTTTCATGTCAAGACATCATTAAAGGGCCCTAATCTGTCATCTTTAAGGGCCCTAATCTGTCATCATTAAAGGGCCCTAATCTATCATCATGAAAGGGCCCTAATCTGTCATCTTTAAAGGGCCCTAATCTATCATCATGAAAGGGCCCTAATCTGTCATCATGAAAGTGCCCTAATCCGTCATCATTAAAGGGCCCTAATCTGTCATCATTAAAGGGCCCTAATCTGTCATCATGAAAGGGCCCTAATCTGTAATCATTAAAGTGCCCTAATCTGTCATAATTAAAGGGCTCTAATCTGTCATCCTTAAAGGGCCCTAATCTGCCATCATTAAAGGGCCCTAATCTGCCATCTTTAAAGGGCCCTAATCTGTCATAATTAAAGGGCCCTAATCTGTCATCATTAAAGGGCCCTAATCTGTCATCATTAAAGGGCCCTAATCTGTCATCATTAAAGGGTCCTAATCTGTCATCCTTAAAGGGCCCTAATCTGTCATATTTAAAGGGCCCTAATCTGCTATCATTAAAGGGCCCTAATCTGCCATCTTTAAAGGGCCCTAATCTGTCATCATTAAAGGGCCCTAATCTGTCATCATTAAAGGGCCCTAATCTGTCATCATTAAAGGGCCCTAATCTGTCATCATTAAAGGGCCCTAATCCGTCATAATTAAAGGGCCCTAATCTGTCATCCTTAAAGGGCCCTAATCTGTCATCATTAAAGGGCCCTAATCTGTCATAATTAAAGGGCCCTAATCTGTCATCATTAAAGGGCCGTAATCTGTCATCATTCAAGGGCCCTGATCCGTCATCATTAAAGGGCCCTAATCTGTCATCATTAAAGGGCCCTGATCTGTCATAATTAAAGGGCCCTAATTTGTCATCATTAAAGGGCGTTAATCTGTCATCCTTAATAATCTGTCATTATTAAAGAGCCCTAATCTGTCATCGACCGTGATGAGTCCTGACTTCACCTCCTCCTCCTCCTCTCGCTCAGGACCGTGATGAGTCCTGCCTTCACCTCCTCCCCCTCCTCCTCCTTCTCTGGCTCAGGACCGTGATGAGTCCTGCCTTCACCTCCTCCCCTTCCTCCTCTCGCTCAGGACCGTGATGAGTCCTGCCTTCACCTCCTCCTCTCGCTCAGGACCGTGATGAGTCCTGCCTTCACCTCTTCCTCTCCCCCTCCTCCTCTCGCTCAGGACCGTGATGAGTCCTACCTTCACCTCTTCCTCCCCCTCCTCCTCTCGCTCAGGACCGTGATGAGTCCTGCCTTCACCTCCTCCTCCCCCTCCTCCTCTCGCTCAGGACCGTGATGAGTCCTGCCTTCACCTCCTCCCCCTCCTCCTTCTCTGGCTCAGGACCGTGATGAGTCCTGCCTTCACCTCCTCCCCTTCCTCCTCTCGCTCAGGACCGTGATGAGTCCTGCCTTCACCTCCTCCTCTCGCTCAGGACCGTGATGAGTCCTGCCTTCACCTCTTCCTCCCCCTCCTCCTCTCGCTCAGGACCGTGATGAGTCCTACCTTCACCTCTTCCTCCCCCTCCTCCTCTCGCTCAGGACCGTGATGAGTCCTGCCTTCACCTCCTCCTCCCCCTCCTCCTCTCGCTCAGGACCGTGATGAGTCCTGCCTTCACCTCCTCCCCCTCCTCCTTCTCTGGCTCAGGACCGTGATGAGTCCTGCCTTCACCTCCTCCCCTTCCTCCTCTCGCTCAGGACCGTGATGAGTCCTGACTTCACCTCCTCCCCCTCCTCCTCTCGCTCAGGACCGTGATGAGTCCTGACTTCACCTCCTCCCCCTCCTCCTCTCGCTCAGGACCGTGATGAGTCCTGACTTCACCTCCTCCCCCTCCTCCTCTCGCTCAGGACCATGATGAGTCCTGCCTTCACCTCCTCCTCCCCCTCCTCCTCTCGCTCAGGACCGTGATGAGTCCTGACTTCAGAGTGTTTTGCTGGAGCGGTGCCAGCTCCTGCAGGAGGACATCCCCAGAGGAAGAGCGGGGTCAGGGCGGACTCTCTCGCAGCGTGTAATGGACTCCGGGACAAGTGCAAATATCTGCTGAGTCATGCAGAGCAGCCATTAGAGCCGCTGACTTTGACAGGGACCAGGAAGGGACCAGGAAGGGAGCAGAAAGCGTTCACATGGTTAAGACCGAGAGAGCTGGAGAGAGACGTATGGAAGAGAATCATTATTACTGCTCTTACTTTTTGTTTTTGATCCAATTGTCATGAATAAAGCCATACAACTCCATCAATCCATCCATTTTCTTCCGCTTTATCCGTGGCCAGGTCGTGGCGGCAGCAGTCTAACCCTAACAGCCAGACTTCCCCCTCCACAGACGCTTCTTTTGGCTCATCCAAGTCGAGCAGGTAAAAGTACAAGGCACAGTGGTTAGAAGGAGAGATGAAAGACGTGCAGCAGAAACACGTCCAAACAAACAAAGGAGACAGGTCAGTGCTCTCTGTTCTCAGCAGGAGGGTGCAGGGTTCAATTCCCGGTAGTAACAGGGTCTTTCTGACTTTGTGTGTGTTCTCTTGTGTCCCCCACACAGACCTCTACAACATTTACAAATCCTCACAAAGCCGAGAATCAACATCTGTGCTTCGGAGGCCGCTGCTTCTGACGGACGCTGAGTGGCTTTGAAATGTCAAGAGTGAGATCGTTCGTGTTTCTTTGTTAGATCTTCCTGCGAGTCATAAACAAGCCCCCAACTACAGTAATCTTTAAGGTCTACACAACTCGTGGCCTGTCCTCTTTGTGGCACCTTCCAAATGCAAATATATTATGTAATTATGTGACATTGTAAACATAAATTGGTGAATATGTGTATATATATATATGTTGTGGTAACTATCTTTGCTGTGGTATTTAGTCATCACATTTCAGAGGGAGCTACTAATTCACCCCCGCCGTGTGAAAGAGAGGTTCAGCAGGTCCTTCCTTCCTGCTGCTGTCAGACTGTACAATGAGAATGTGTAACAGGAACTGCTGAGTCTGTACAAGTCTCACTGATAATTATAATAACTTTGTCACAAGTCACTTTATCTGTTTTTAGTATTATTGCATTATAACAGATCCATCTGATATTTACTGTTATTAATATTACTACATTTTATTTTATTCTTTATCTTAGTTCAATTATTTAGTCTTATCATAAATAATACTCAATTTGATGTGTGCGTCTGATGCTCTTATTCCTTTCTCTGCTGTAATGTGCAACGATGACACTGACATTTCTCCACTGTGAGACTAATAAAGGTTTATCTTATCTTATTATATCTTACACCTCATAGTTTACATTTCTTGTGCATCGAGTGAGTCATGTGACCAGAGTCATGTGACCAGAGTCATGTGACCTGAGTCACGTGACCAGAGTCACGTGACCAGAGTCACGTGACCAGAGTCATGTGACCAGAGTCATGTGACCAGAGTCATGTGACCTGAGTCATGTGACCTGAGTCATGTGACCTGAGTCATGTGACCAGAGTCATGTGACCAGAGTCATGTGACCAGAGTCATGTGACCTGAGTCATGTGACCTTTATATACAGGTGTGTAGCCGGCTTTGCTTCATGTCTGATGAAGGGCAGTGACCCGAAACGTCACATTGTGTGGTTAGAATGAAAATGTCTTGGGAGCAAAAGCTGTGCAGAGTCATCTCCATGTTTTTCATTGGCTTTGAAATGTCCCCGGAATAAATATCATTTTATTATCTGTGGGTTTGTTCAGACTCAAGGGCACAAAATGTGACAAAAGATAGATCCTAATGATAATAAGATTTATGGTGGTTTTCATGTTTCCAAATCCCTCGGTCCTTTAGAAGTCGCTAAAACTGTTTTCTGTAGTAATTCACCTTGGAGAGACCCATGAGGAAAACGCATTAGACTTATTAGATTTAAGCATGTTTATTGATTGAGCATGTTTGGCGCCCTAGGCCCGGGCGGGATGCTGTTGAGCACGGCGCTTGCTCGCGTGCATGATCCCCCCGGGGCCTAGGCACTGGTGACGGCAGAGGCAGTAGGCAACACGCTTCATGCGAGAAGGAGGAGGTGGGGCGGCGGCGGCTTGCAGACTTCAGAAGATCGGGAAGTGGGCGTCTCCGGCTTTTAACTTGCTGTCCTGGTGGTTATTGGTTGACTGGGTGTGGGCGTTGCTGGTATTGATGAGTCGAGGAAGAGCAGCCTGTGGCCTGGCAGCAACAGCCGGGTCTACCACGGTGAACTTTCGCGAAAGCTCCATTTCACCTTGGAGAGACCCATGAGGAAAACGCATTAGACTTATTAGATTTAAGCATGTTTATTGATTGAGCATGTTTGGCGCCCTAGGCCCGGGCGGGATGCTGTTGAGCACGGCGCTTGCTCGCGTGCATGATCCCCAAAAAGCGGGCCTGCGATTGGGATAGCAGGACGCACTGCGCGGGCCTGAGAGCATGAGCGAGCTGAGAACATGCGCGCACGCGCATGTTCAGCCAGCCGCAGCAGGGGAATCTTTGAGCGAGCTGAGAACATGCGCGCACGCGCATGCTCAGCCAGCCGCAGCAGAGGAATCTTTGAGCGAGCTGAGAACATGCGCGCACGCGCATGTTCAGCCAGCCGCAGCAGGGGAATCTTTGCGCGAGCTGAGAACATGCGCGCACGCGCATGCTCAGCCAGCCGCAGCAGAGGAATCTTTGAGCGAGCTGAGAACATGCGCGCACGCGCATGCTCAGCCAGCCGCAGCAGGGGAATCTTTGAGCGAGCTGAGAACATGCGCGCACGCGCATGTTCAGCCAGCCGCAGCAGGGGAATCTTTGCGCGAGCTGAGAACATGCGCGCACGCGCATGTTCAGCCAGCCGCAGCAGGGGAATCTTTGAGCGAGCTGAGAACATGCGCGCACGCGCATGTTCAGCCAGCCGCAGCAGAGGAATCTTTGAGCGAGCTGAGAACATGCGCGCACGCGCATGTTCAGCCAGCCGCAGCAGGGGAATCTTTGAGCGAGCTGAGAATATGAGCGCACGCTCATATTCAGCCAGACGCTGAAGCAGAGGAATCTTTGAGCGTTTGAGGAAAGTGCGTGCCGCCGCCAGAATCTTATTGCTTACTTGCTTTGCTTCGTATTGCTTTGCTGGGAGCTTACGAGGAAGCCGGTAGACGTTGTGCTGCCATGATAGCGGTCGCATCTGGCCTGATGTAGGTGGAGAAGCCGAAGAGGACCAGCGCCCCAGCTGTTGCAGAGGAAGAGTGGGGGAGCCCCAGCGAGGTCGCGCGCGTGGCAGCGCCTATCCTGAAGGAGTGAGCTGTGTAGAGCTGGGGAGACAAATTGCAGAGGAGCAGTAGGGATCTTAGCTGAGCTCTGAACCAGGTTGCTGTTATGGGAAGGTTGACTGGAGTGAGAATTAGAGGTCCGTTAAAATCTCCTTTTTGCCGCGGAGGCGAGTGTAACGCATCATGGACCTGTAGGGGCAGAGAGATGTGTCGAAGCGAGCTATTATTGTGTTGCAGGCGCCTCTGATCTTTGAATGTTTGAGATGAAGGTTGAATGGTCAGGGGACATTATGTTGGGTGAGAAGAGCGACCTTTGTTTAATGCTTCCACTACGTCGAGATGATCACGCATGACAGAGATCCTCTTTCTCTGCCACGTGTGATTCCGCAGCGCGCAGGCCACGACCACTGGGAATGTCTCGTGTAGGGCAGAGGAAATGCTCCGGGGAAAGTAGCGGGCCACGGCCGGCGAACCACTGGTCCTGGAAGAATCCCCCAAAAACCCACGGAAGGGGCAGCGTCCGTGTGGAAGCGGAGACCTGTAGGGGCAGAGAGACACACCGGAGAGGGCCATTGATGTTGCAGGCGCCCTTACGCTTAGAATCTTGGGTTGGAGAGTAGATAATTAGGCCAGTAGGATAGGACGGGAAAAGCCGTGTCTCGGACCGCATTGAAGGTTGAGTGAGCAGTGGTGAAACGCTTATGCAGAGAAGCCACAGAAGGCGAGCAGGAAGATGCTGCGAGGAGGGCAGACATGTACTTGGAAGATGAGCCGGAGTTCAGTGCCGCTCAGAGCCGCTGCAGGATGGGCAGCATGATGGGGAGCCTGTGATCAGAAGAGTGAAGAACCAGGTATGGATGCCTTTGATTAGGAGTCCGATTGACGGCTCAGCGCAGCTACTTGGCCAGCTGCATCTGATAGAATCAGAAGATTCAGTAGAGAGATGAAGCACGACCGCCGAAGCGACCCTGGGAGCATAGGTGCGAGTCCGGCGCAGCGCGGCATACTCAGCCGGGCTGCCCATTAGAAGCAGGATAAGCTTCTGAGAGAGTGGGTTGCAGTAGCAGTAGCAGCAGCGGCAGCAGCAGTAGCCTCAGATAATAACAGCAAAAGTCCTGTATCAAGCCGCGGCAGCAGCAGTAGCAGCAGCAGCAGCAGCAGCAGCAGCAGCAGCGTCCTTAGAAAATAACAGTAATAATTCTGTATCAAAGCCACAGCAGTAGAATGTTGTTGTAGCTGTTCAGGGTTTCAGTAAAAGAGATGCGAAGTGAAGAGAGATGGCAAAGTAAATGAAGCAGCAGCAGCAGTAGTAGCAGCAGTAGCCGTATGAAGCAGCAGCAGTAGCAGTATGAAGCAGCAGCAGCTGCAGCATCCGTCGATAATAGCAGCAATAATCCTGTATCAAAGCCAGAGCAGTAGAATATTGTTGTAGCTGTTTAGTGTTTCAGTAAAAGAGATGCGAAGTGAAGAGGGATGTCAAAGTACATGAAGCAGCAGCAGCGCAGCAGTAGCAGCAGCAGTAACGGTAGCAGTATGAAGCAGCAGAAGCAGCATTAGCAGTAGCAGCAGTAGCAGTATGAAGCAGCAGCGGTTGCAGCATCCGTAGATAATAACAGCAATAATCCTGTATCAAGCCACCGCAGTAGAATATAGTTGAAGCTGTTTAGTGTTTCAGTAAAAGAGATGCGCAGTGAAGAGAGGTGTCAAAGTAAAGAAGCAGCAGCAGCACGGAAGCGGTAGCAGTATGAAGCAGCAGCGGCAGCAATAGCAGCAGTAGCGGCAGCAGAAGCAGCAAGCAGCAGCAGCACAATGCAATTCATACGAACAACATACGTGTCACGCCAGCGTGCGCCGCTTGTCTCCGTGAGCCAGGTTACGTACGTGTCTGAAGAGCCGAGCCGTAGAGACAGGTGCAGCCTGGGAGCCTGCGGAGCGGCAGCGGCAGGAACAGCAGCAGCGGCACATGTAGTAGTAGGAGCAGCAGGAGCAGGCAGCAGGAACAGGCAGCAGCAGGAACAGCAGCAGCGGCACGTGTAGTAGGAGGAGCAGCAGGAACAGGCAGCAGCAGGAGCGGCAGCAGGAACAGGCAGCAGGGACAGGCAGCAGCAGGAACAGGCAGCAGCGGGATCAGGCATCAGTAGGAACGGCAGCAGGGACCGCAGCAGCGGCGGTCAGAGAACCATGCCCACGGTTGTTTAACAGCCTGAGGAAATAAATCAACCCGAATCCGAAACATTCCCATGCGAGAAACAGATGTCCCCTGGAGCCATCTTGCTGCTTTGGTTATGGTAGAACGCATGAACGATCACTGTTCCACGCGTTCATTAGCTCCAACACCACTTCACGCCCATTGCATATTCACATTGGGCCCCTTTTCTTTCTGCTGCACTTTCGAAATGCAACAACTGCAGTTTAGTTACCCAGTTTAATACTAGTGACCTAGCTATTTAAATGCATGGCCCCTCCTTCCTCCTGCAGATAGACGAATTTAAATACATCATTTAACAATAGTGACTTGCGAGTAATGAGATTGATGCTGTAAAGATGGCGCCATGCAAGAGCTCTGTGTGTGCCGTCTGGAGCACGATGGGGTAGTCTTTGCACATTTTTTCCAACGTGGTTTTACTGCAAGTGGCAGAACATGAATCTGAATTAATGCACATTGCTCCTCTTATATCCCTCAGACATTGGAGATTGATGCCATTTAAGATGCATTGTCCCTCAGTTAGCTCAACACGTGTAAAACGGAGCCTGCAACCAAGCACGGGGCGAAAACTGACGCCTGCAGTCAAGTGCGTAGGGCAAAAACCAGCCGCCTGCAGCCTAGACTCCGGGATTAAACTGTCCGCGGTCGGCACACTGACTGTACTCACATGCCAGGAGACTTGGGAAAGCAACGGGACGACGCGGCACCGCCAATCGGAGGCAGGGACATGCACGGCACCGCCAGACCGTCTGCGCGCGGCAGCAGACCACGAGGAACGAGCAGCACAGAACCGCGGAGGGGCCCCGCGGAGCAGCCCGCAGAAGAGCCCGCAGAGGAGAGCAGTGGGGATATGCGAACCACAGCAGGTGCAGGGACGTGGAGGAGGAGCAGACCATGAGCAGCCAGACTGAGGACAGCCGGGCCACGCGCACGAGCAACACGTGAGCAGAAGCGACCCCTCCAGAACAACGCATGCATTTGCGAACAGGTGCGTTAGCGACATGCACCTTGCAGGCTTCAGAAGTTTGCAGACTTCAGAAGATCGGGAAGTGGGCGTCTCCGGCTTTTAACTTGCTGTCCTGGTGGTTATTGGTTGACTGGGTGTGGGCGTTGCTGGTATTGATGAGTCGAGGAAGAGCAGCCTGTGGCCTGGCAGCAACAGCCGGGTCTACCACGGTGAACTTTCGCGAAAGCTCCATCTGTGTATTTAATGGAACAAACCTGATCCAAAATGTATTCATAGATTTTTCCTTTTGATTTTACCCACTCTATCTCTTTGATCTGTCTGTGTTTGGAATCTTTCATCAAATCCATGTTGGGTATTTTAGTTTTTGAGTTATAACCTTTGAAAGTCCAGACAGCGTGACACTTTCCTGTGAACACATGTGTTACAGGATCAGTCTAAAGCGGAGGATGCATTTCTTTACAGCGATAAATAAGTCTTTCTAAACATTAACCTGGATCTGCTCCGACAAAGACGATGTGGAACTGTGGAATTCTCGGGAAAATCCACGTGAAACCAAATCAAGGTGTAAAGTGCCGCGACCTGAACCCGTAGATGTTCACGGTCTACTGTATTCTTTTCTGTAACGATGAGATTGAAAGGGACTGGGACGTTTGCAAACTCGCCAACGCCGCTGCTATTTCTCCTGCAACTTAATTGAGCGTGTTGTGTTAACCTCGGAGCCAGAGCTGCTGTTTTCAATGAATCTCAGCAAAGAAAAAGATGCACACATTCAATCTGAGAGTAAATAATGGGTTTTACAGCGGCCGAGAACAGCGCGGCCTCAGGTCTGTCCGCTGCCCTTGAGAAGTCTATTCTCTTCATTGTACTGACCTCACAACGGACTCAAACTAAAACGTACAAACAGAAGCACTATCCCTGTCCCTCATTGGCTCATTTTAAAGCTGGGGTACCTTAATCTGCTCTCATAGATAACGGGTTTGGGCTAGGGTTGTTTCTCTCGACAGAATCTTGCATAACTGGAGATCGGACCAGACTGTTTTGAGATTCAAGATTATAAAAACTACACTTTGCTTGCACTAGAAAACGCAGTACTTTATACTTGCCTCTTATTGCCAAAAATAAAACTTATTTTTTACTATTACTAGTATCAAGATAGAGATTATTTACTTCTTATTGATGCTAGAGTTAGAGATTTTGTTTCATTTTACTGAGTATAGCCACTAATAGGGAACGTGAGCTGGGTTTAGACCGTCGTGAGACAGGTTAGTTTTATCCTACTGATGATGTGTTGTTGCTATAGTAACACATCAGTAGGGTAAAACTAACCGGTCTCACGACGGTCTAAACCCAGCTCACGTTGCCTATTAGTGGGTGAACAATCCAACGCTTGGTGAACTCTGCTTCACAATGATAGGAAGAGCCCACAGTAGAGCCCATTATAGCTACTCATTAAAATGGGGCGACAGTGGCTTAGTGGACCTAATGGTCTTGGGTTCGAGCCCACCATGACTCATGTCACCTGCTCCCACTGTTCTGTAACTTGTGATGCAACACTGAAATTTCCCCACTGTGGGACCGATATGGATCTCTTAATCTTAATATTAAAAATGCATTTGCCATTTGCAGTAAAACCACAGTGGAAGACTACCCCAGTGTGCACCAATCAGAGAGTAACAATACAAAATAATAAGAAAGATCAAATGTGATATGCACTGTTCGGACCAATCGTCATGGTAACGGTCCGAGATGGGAATATATCAGACCGGTAATCAGCCAATCAGAGCGTGCGTACGGTCCAAGTCATATAATAATACACTTTATTTATTCAGTAGAGAAGATGGAACACACCAGAGCTCTTGTCAGGAGACAGAGCAACACGGATTATTTTTTACGTGCTTTTCTGGACACGCAAAGTAAAATCATTCTCTCCAAACACAGCCGTGATAAACTACTACTATAGCCACAGCTGCCCTGGGGCACACTGACAGAAGGGAGGCAACAAGTCTGTGCCAGCAGCCCCTCCCACCACCAACCACTCACACACACATCAGACTCATTCTAATGTGGGGGAAGTGTCTTGCCTAAGGACACAACCACAGTTTGGAACTTTACAGCCGCAGCCGCTCCGCTGTGTCTCCCATCACAGTACTAAACCAAGCCCTGCCCTGCTTAGCTTCAGAGGTCTGACAGGATCTGGCTCTCACCTGCAGCTATGGACACAAATATCCATTGATCTCAGGAGAGTTTCCACGGAGCGTTCTGTGAGGGGGCAGGGCGTTCGCCTCCGTCTTTTCTTACATAACTCCTGCTTCTCCACTTCAGTTTCTTTTGAATAAACTGCTTTCCACAAACCTCTGTCATCTCTTCATCTCCGACAAAAAAGTGAATTCAGCATCAGTCTGTAATTGTTCTGGAAACCTTTAAGAATCGCCACAAGTCACACGTCTCTCATCGACAACATCAAACTAATTACAAGCTCTTCCAAAGACACAGTTTTTTCTGCCTCGACAAACTCCACTCACGGCAAAGTCACGATCAGTAAATGGATCCGTGTTCCCGGAGTCACGCGTGTCTCGTCACTTCATATTAAAACATTAAAACTGCAGAAAACGTCTTGGGGCCGCGGCGCCAAAGAGACAAAGCAACATCCCACGGACTCTTGCATCAGACGACCACATACAGAACGAGAGCTGTCAACCCGCCTCAGAATCAAACGGCATCTTTCATGACCTGCTCCAACCTGGATTATGAGCCCGTTCTAACCCCGGGCGCCGCTGCAGGGAGGCCCAGCGCGACCCAGCACGGCTCAGCACGGACTGGAATACACACACGTTCATTACTCTCCCAAACCTGTGGATGAGTCTTTGCGTCACTCTGACCTGGGAGAATGTTTGTGTCCGGCTGAAATGATGCTGCGACGGGAGACTGCCTTTGTTTTGGTTTTGGGACGTGGAAAACAACCCTGGCCTTATCCATCCGTACTCTCCGCTCCATCATCATTCCTCTGCATGTGACGTCTGGGTCTGGTCCCTGGGTTAGCAATTACAATCGGTTCAATTTTGACCGACCAACCAGCGAGCGCGGAAGGACACTGTTGTATTTAGTTGTGGGTGACGTCAGGAGTTTGCGTCAAAGGGGAAGGTTGCAGTTTGGCACACCTGTTTTTACACGCCTGAATGACAAGCAAAGGGTGCGTTGCCAAAGGGCAATTATTGTTTTGAGAGGTCGGTTATCAAGAAATAATGACCGTTAGAACGTTTTGAAATTACATTCAACTCAATGGAGCGTTCTCCTGCTGCTGTGAGGAGCGTGTAATAAATATATAATCTATGAATTAGTGCGTACTGTATATTTATATGTAGATGTTTTCCTCTGACAGGGAGTTTCCACAGTCGGTGTTAACAGAGCGTACGCGTTGACTGCACATGTGTGTAACATTATTTGGGTGTATGTCCACTGGGCGTGTGCAGGTCCGTCTGATGCTGTCCCTGTGTGTGTAACATTATTTGGGTGTATGTCCACTGGGCGTGTGCAGGTCCGTCTGATGCTGTCCCTGTGTGTGTCTGTGGAGCAGTGTAGAGGACAGTACAGAGACTGATGTAGAGCAACACAAATCACATGTGTTTGTCTTCATGGTCTCTGTTGCTGGTTTGGTTTGTGTGTGTGTGTGTGTGTGTGTGTGTGTGTGTGTGTGTGTGTGTGTGTGTGTGTGTGTGTAATCTAAAGCCAAGGGCCGCTAGAAAAATCATGTTTCACGTGTTTTCAATGGGAGACGCGTTGCTGCGCGCACAAAAGAGCACTGGTCTCTGGACCTAATGGTCGTGGGTTCGATCCCACCACGACCCATGTCACCTGCTCCCACTGATGTCTGCTGTCGTTGTGTCCTTGGGCAAGACACTTAACCCCACTTTGCCTTAAGCCCCCGCTGAAAGATCAAGGTCGCATATGCATTGAAGGAGTAGCCATCTTCCAGTGGACCCACCACCTGCAGAGGATCAGGGACTGGTGCTTTGTGAGCTGGGTGCAGCTCTGACTGCCACCTCCCGACCCAGAAATGGATAGTAAAGGGATGAGAATGAATGTTTTCCTCTTTTGTAACTTGTAACGTTTTTCTTTCATCCTTTTTTTATTTTTGTCTCATGGTTTTTGTCTTTTTCCCCATACATCTTTAAGAACGTAGGGATTATGTTTAAAAAGGCCGTATAAATATGAAATATAAATATATATATATATATATATATATATATATATATATATATATATATATATTATATATATATATATATATATATATATTTATATATATATATATGATATATATATATATAAATATATATGTATATATATATATATATATATATATATATATATATATATATATATATATATATATATTTATATATATATATATGTATATATATATATAAATATTTGCATAATTATTCTTCCGAGAACAAGGCTAATGTCCCGCTCTGTATTTCCAGCCAAAAAGCATGAATAAATCAACCCTGAGTGGCACATCTTTACAAATGTGACACAATGAACGACGACGTGCTAAAAAATACTATTCCAACATGAATTGATGATTGCATTTTAGATGTTGGTGATGAATGCTCTGCTCTTTAGGTCTAATGGCCACCTGCGGGGCTCGCCACCATAATTACTCAACAGCAAAAGTCGTGTTTTTAGAATCCGTCTCTGAGCGCGAGGACGAGACACCGGCGTGACCGCGAAAGGCCAGAGAGTTTCCAGACAAATGCACTGGCTCCATCCATCAGCCTGAAATAAAAGATGTCCCCACTGTGCGGAATGACTCACGTAACCCACGGCGACGGATAATTTCAGGGCTCAGGGAAACAGCGGGAGGATTCGGCGTGAGAGGCTATTTTCACTGATTTTAAAATTGCCTTTTGATACTCGGAGCTGAGCGAGCGGCCAAACAAATGGAGGATGTGACGTTTCAATGGTGACTTTTTTACAGCTTTTCACCAAGTTATAAAGTGGTTCGCTCTTTGAAAACTGATCTATTCTTGTAGATGTCAGGAACTTATGGTACAAATGTGCAACTCTGACCCTTGGGCCTCTAAAGCCGCTTTCAGGTGAAACACAGAGATCCAGGACTGAGGCTGTAGATCCAGGACTGAGGCTGTAGACCCAGGACTGAGGCTGTAGATCCTGGATTGAGGCTGTAGACCCAAGACTGAAACGCACTAACTTGTCATTAAAGAACCTTTTTTAGTTCTGCGCCACATGGTACTTTACCAGTGAGATTAGCGCCACACTGTGAGTTCTGGCGCCCGGATCACAGACTTTCTGATTGGTGAAACGGTGGAGGGCGGGACATCAAAATGAAAACAATAACACAATTTAGAGGCTGGAAAAGTAATATTGAAATTCAAATACTCTCTGAACTACTGATATCAGTTAAAGAAGTATTGGAAAAGAGCAGTTTATTATTATGACAGATTAGGGCCCTTTAATGATGACAGATTAGGGCCCTTTAATGATGACAGATTAGGGCCCTTTAATGATGACGGATTAGGGCCCTTTAATGATGACAGATTAGGGCCCTTTAATGATGACGGATTAGGGCCCTTTAATGATGACAGATTAGGGCCTTTTAATGATGACGTGACATTATTATCTTAGGGTGTATTCAGACCTGAAAAGTCCTTTGCTCCGCTTGCTTGATCCGAATCAAAAGCGGACCAAACTTTTTTCTTTTGCTCCGGTTCGTATTCAGACTGTCCTTTTTGCAAGTGAACTTTTTTATATAAACATATTGACACGTGTGACGATCGGCTCCTATTGGACAGCGAGAGCTCACGGAGGATAGATGCGGAACCGGAGGAAAACTGTATTGAGCTTGTATGTGCAGCATGTCTGCTCTGCCTCTGTTTGCTCTTTTTAGAGCAAAACCACCTTCAACAGCAGCTCATATGACACAGGCGAAACACGTTGTTTTTATATAGGAATAGCGTCGGAGAATGCGTGAGGAGAAAGCCGAAGGAGACTGTCTGTGCGCTCCGTGTCCTGTCCCACACATGGATCTATTATAATAACGGCCCTGTTCAGCATTGTGGATAAACCATGGATCTATAACAACCACGGGACAAACAGACGCTGAGAATAAGGTAGGAACCAAAGAACACAATTCACTACATGATGCGGAATATTGCTCTTTGAGACGTGAGTCAAACAGTGTCAGGCTTTTAATAATGCAAAAGGTTTGAAGATGCTGCATTAACATCAATGTATACTGTGAACAGTTGTAACTCCATAAGTCTGTTGCACAGCGTCTCCTCACTGCTCCAGGTCTGCACACGGCTCAGTGTTGTTGTGCAGCGTTAGCAGCATAGTTAGCAGCATAGTTAGCCGCTGCGTGGCTAATTCCTCCGTTTCTGTCTGCGGTGCTTGTTAAGCCCAAAAAATGCGCACGTATCTTGGAGTTGTGTTGGATCGACACCGGATGTATTCAGACCTGATTCGACTTGGACCAGAATTCGTTTGGAAGCGGACCGAGACCACCTCAAAAAGTGGGTCTCGGTTCGGTTATTTGGTCCGGACCAGGATTCGTTTGTGTGTATTCAGACCTGCATAAAAGCTTCGGATCAGAGTTCCAAACGAATCCTGGTCCGTTTAAAGTGGAGCAAATGTGCAGGTCTGAATACACCCTTACATATTGCTAGTTTAATACTTGCTAGACTGGTCTTGGACTGGTCTCTGACTGCTCTGCCCATCCATCTTCCACCGCGGCCTGTGTCCTGCTCCATGGGTCACCTGGTTCTTTCAGGGATGGACGGACTAAATGACACCCCCCCATGGGACCACGGCCGCCCCGCTCCGGCCCCCTCGTTCGGCCCCCTCGCTCCTGTGCCTCAGTATCTCATGTCTCCATTACTCCCAGTTCACTGCGCACAGTAAAAGGCTGCGGCGACGGTGGAGCGGCTGCGGTTCTCGGCGCCGACACAGGAGCACGGCGTGGAAACATTAGCAAGACGTCTGTCAGTCTGGACCCAACTTCATCCGTTTTCATGGAAATCAATAGTTTGTTTTTATTAATAGATTCATGAAACGGAAACGTAATCGGTATTTAAAGCTGGAGGACCGACAGAGACGGACGGATTCATTAACCAGAGCGTCACAGGGCGTTTTTATCTTCTTTAAGTTTCCATGTTAAGACTTTCTTTCCTCTGGTGTAAACATGACACAGATGTTTGCCCAGAGGTGTTCTTCATTGTTTCCCTGCAGCTTTAGTTACAGACGAACTTTCTCTTTCTTTCTCCACAGAAACGACCACATTCACTTCGTTACATAGCTCCAGAAGCCCCGCCCCCAGGAGGTGATTGACAGGAGAGAGAAACTAATACAGCCAATCAGGGCACAGCTATTCAGTATGGACCATAGACTTGCTGGACCATAGATTGTATGGACCCTAGACAGACCATAGACTGTATGGACCATAGACAGACCATAGACTGTATGGACCATAGACAGACCATAGACTTTCTGGACCATAGACAGACCATAGACTGTATGGACCATAGACAGTATGGACCATAGACCGTATGGACCATAGACAGACCATAGACTGTATGGACTAGGGATGTAAATTGGTGACCATTTAACCGGTGGTTGACCGCCACAGCGTTAACCGGTCAAAGTTGTCGGTTAAAAAAGAGAAAAGGGGGAGAGGGGAGGTCTCTTCATAACGCTATTTTAAGCCCTATTTGCACGATGTGACGAGCGGGTCCCTATCTAGCTGTGTGCGCCAATGTAACAGTAAACTCTGGGCCGACTCTCACGCTGTACGCGCCACATATGCACGCACACATGT